ATAACGTATTTTTATTGGTTTGATACCTTTATTGAACCTGGATTTGGACAATGTATATTTTATTCTTTTTAATCACAAAAGGCGTCAAAAATTCTTGCTGGTTTACCTGTTATTCTAGATTTGCGATACAGATCTACTGTAGAAAAGATCTCTTTGGTTGCATCTGGACCGACAAACAGGTTATTTTAAGCAATCTTTCCTCCATAGATATTATTAACATTAATTTTAAATAACAATGAAACCACAATCATAAAAAAAAAAAATTTTAGTCTGCGCTATTAAATCGAAAATTGTTCTCTTTTTTGGTAACATATCCCTGCATAAACGCCAGAATTATTTGATTATTACCTTTGATTGTCGTCTCAGATCCTATTAATGCGTTAATGGTGATGATTAACGAAAAAAAAAAAGGTCAAGTCATTGTTGAAGCAAGCCGCTTTTCCAGAACAAGCTATATCACATTTATGGAAGGTTCAAGAAAATATAAACTATGACAACATCCATGAACATCAAATCGTGACAAACACCCTTGAAAGGCGACGTGATTTTCCTGAATTATATCATACGAAATTTTTCTCCGTGACATATCTCATGTCATGTGTGCTATTTTTTCCGTTTTTAAATTAACCTTATTTGTTTGTTATTTTTTATTTATTTATTATTTACAAGGGTTTTTTTCATTAAAAAGATTTTCAAGATTTACAGGGCGTTCATGTGTCAAATTTGAGATAAATTTGGGTAAATAAAAGGTGGAATAAAGTTTTTTTTTTTTTGATGGATACAAAAGAAAGAGTTTTTAAGGTTTAAAGTTGCAGAAATTCGCACAAGTACAGAACGTGTTGTGACTAAAAAAGTAAATTTTTTTCATTAATACAAATTAATTAAAATTAATAATCATTAAATATAAAGATCATGATAACCATAATACCCAACGTAACAATCATAATGAAGATAATGGGAAAATAAAATTGTTTTCCCTCGCACCGCATTCAAATATCAATAGTCGTGGAAAAAAATTGACAGACTTGTTCTCCATATTAATACACCGCAGTAACATTGTAAAATAGATAGATAATTCCCATCCATACCCATTACCAACTAACGCATGCTGTATCCTTGTTATTTATGGAAGTGCATGAAAGTGCATGAAAGGGTAAATGTAATAATGTAATAAAAAAAATCCGACTTTACCTTTTAACTTCGCTCGGCGTCGGAACTCTCCGAAGAGAGATATACTGCAACTTTAAAAAAAAAAAAAGATTGTTGTGCACTATTATCCGCAGAATAAAAAAAAGATCAAGTCTGGGTAAGAACATATAATAATCACAAAAAAAACTTAAATTAAAAAAAAAAAGAGTTGAACTCCGTTATAAGAAAATTCCGTTGACACTTAATTTAATTTCATTATTTTAAGTTAAATTAATTTTTTTTTTGATCTTTTTGATTTTCGCATACTATGCATTTAATTTCCCTTGCATGTTTAATTATATACAATTAAGGTATATTATAATAAAGTTTATTTCGTAATAATTACCCTGTTTGTATGCTATTCAAAGCGAGACAAAAATCATGTTTAACTTGTAAAATATTCATTGAAAGCATGCTTTATCGAGTAATATTTATTGTCATTTAATTTAAACTAAGTAAAGTAGTAAGTTAAAGTTAACACGCCGATTTTCAGCCAAATGATTTTTTATTTGCCTCTTTGAAATCGATTAATACAATAAAATTAAAATTTGAACTTTGACCCTAAAATCTTTCCTTTTCTGAACATATTGATATGCAATTAAGTAATTTCTTTTAATAAATTGATGATAAACTTGTTTTGGATAAAAAAATTTTTTTTTTTTTTTTTTTTCAACAAAAACACCCCATCCATTCCAAAGCAAGTGATCGACCGCAGCGATCGTTTCCTGATCTTCTCATATCAACCATAGGAGCCTGATGGATTCGTCTTTAACCGAAACGAACGCTAACTTTATTTTTTTTAATATAGATAAAAACGTTAAAGGATCATTATAACCGCCCGTAGTAGATTTGGTTGTTATTGAGCTATCTAATTAAAGTACATGCACAAGGCAAGTTTTTTTTTCATGTCTATAGAAAATGCATGTAAAGGTGATCTGTTACATTGTAGGATTGTAACCAACCACGCCGTGATTTCGTGACACTCCCCTCTTCTTTGATGGGTAGCTACTTGAAATTTCTACCCCAGCCATATATTTGAATAAGCCATTGTCACATCCATCATCGTCATGGTGATTTCCTTTTCATGTACGTTAGGTTTCGGCAATAAGCAAGCAATCGGGTGTCACGACAGCAAAAGTTTCAGCCACAAAAAATTTTTTGAGCCATTATTTAAAATTAGAATCGAACTAAATAGGTATGTGAGATAATGGTTTCATAATTGACAATGGCGGTTTACTTTTTTGGTAAATTTCTGGAAGTTATTAATAACAAGTTTTATCATGCATACAATGTAAGGAATTTTCCTTAACAATTGTTTACGGTGGCACATTATTAAGTGGCTAGTTTCAGGATGAAAGTTCGGTTAAAAGTAATGTCGATCCATCATTTTCAACTTCTTTTTGACAATCTTGTCAAGTGGCGGTCTGGTGGCGGTCGGGTGACCTTAAACCTATCGCCACTCTTTGCCCGGTCACGTTTATGTGAATACACCCTTTAAAGTACTTATGCATGCATCGAGGCTGGTGTATACCCGCATTCACAAATTCTCTCTCTCATTTTTTTTTGTTGTTCCTCCTTTTTCTTTTTTCTGAATTGGGATCTGGAATCGGCGTAAATTTTCTCGATGAAACAATAATACTTTCTCACGTAATCAAGCAAATTTGAATCCATTCTACAAATAGCTTTATGGTTTAAATCGTGTTACGCCATTTCTTATCAATACCTTTTCAAATAAAGAATAATCATCATCATTTTTATTCGATTCCGTCTATGAACTTAAGTTTTTTATATCGAGATGCAATCCTTAATTAATTACATGCTTATTGCCAAAAGCCAAAAAAAGAAGAAATGTTACGATGACAAAGTTTAGTAATGAGCGGCGGTGTATCCCGCGTGGATAACATTTTATTATTGATCGTTATTACTTCTCATTCTATAAACGAAACATAAGAGAGAGACCATGTCATCAACCATCTTTTTAATTATTTCCTTTATCAGGTAAATCGTACGATAGGGCTCTCCGGTATTTCCTTCATATAAAATAACAAAAGAGGAATAAAGTTAAAGGGTCGTTTGACAATCGAATGTACTTTTGAGAATTTGGTTATTTTGGTAACAAATTCGCGTTCCACGCAAGTTGATTTCATCAAAATGATTTACGTTGATAATGAATAAACAACGCAACATAATCATTTTTTTTTTTTTATTTTATTTTATTTTATTTTTTCATGATAATGTATATTCGTTGAATACATTTCGGTCACGTAATAATAATTGATTAAATCAATGGAATTTAAACAAGCAATTGTTTATTTTTTAATTAGGTGCATTAATTGTGCGTTGTGAGGAGACAATAATATTTGCTCAACAATTGACCTCGTATCTACTTTTAATAAATTGATGCGTAGTAAATAAAACAACTTCATTCACACTATAAATTTCTATTATTCCTATTTAAATCGCTTTATAATATGGAATGGTAAATCCGATTGTTGCTTTTTAATTAAATCATTTTCCGCCCATTCCGACTAGAAAAAAAAATAGATAATTTTTTTTTTTTTTAATTAATTAAAAATTAAAAATTTATAAATTTATTTTCTTGATAACCCTGTTAAAAAAAAAAAGACCTTGTAACAATGAACTTTTACATTTAAGGGAATCGCATGGCCCTCGTTAGAAGGATTCATATAGGATGTAACAATGAGATGGCGCCATCTAAAACACTCTAACTTCTCCTTCAATTAATTAATTGGTGAGATTTTTAACCTCTAATTTTTTTTAGGTTATAAGAAAAAACGGACTTGAAAGAAAGAATGTAATATAATATAAAATCTTATTTAGATTATGTAAAAAATTAAATTAATCATTTTATTTATTGTGTGACTTACATGAGTGGCAATAACTTCAGCCCCTGTTATTTCACGGGCGATGCAAATCTTGACTTTTAAGTTTCAGTTTTTTTGTCAACATAAAAAAAAAAAAATTAGAGTACATAAATTAAATTGATATATTGTGGCATTAATTATACATTAATCAGAATAAATTCCAATTGTAAATTTTTTTTATAAATACGACCATTTCAGGTCTGTGGCTAAAAATCCCATCAAATTCTATTCTTTGAATTTTTAATAAAAAACTTTAAGGAAAACGTCCATTAAATAAAAAAAAAAAATCGCCTTTTTCCCTTTTCACCTTTTCCTTCCAATCTACTACTACAACTTCAGCTTTTTTTCTTCCTGTATTAAGGCGATAAAAGTTTTTTTTTCACAAGCTAAATATATCATCTAAAAAAATATATTTTTTACTTTCCCTTCTTTTCTTTAGATCTTTGTAAGTATTTTTTTTTTTTTTTTTTTCATTCAATCAAGCAAATAAATGATTTCCTTTTAATAGAAAACAAGGCAATGTTACTAATATCGAATGATTTTTTTTTTTTTCCTCATTCTAGTTCATTTTTATTCATCAAGTTATTAAACAAAAAATGGACGTTGAAGCACGCAACAAATATTGTGGATACATTATGTTCAACACCGCCTCCAGCAAAGGCACTGGATCAAAGTCCAACGATTTGATTCTCAACAATTGTGATGCTTCTTCATTTTCAAACTATGATTCGGACCTCTTCCCTCAGACTGGTCCAACGAATCATTCGATGGCCGCCGGTGCCGCAGCCGTTGAGGATCAAACTTCGAAAAAGGAAGAGAATCCTTTTCAAATTTACGATCCTTCCAACCTTAGTAATGGAGGTGAAAATGGCAAAAAACTACCGGGTAGTTCCAAGATGCAACCAGAAAAACGACCTCCAAGACCTCCAAACGCATTCATCCTTTATAGACGTGCTAAGCAACCGGCTATTCTCGCTGCCCATCGTAACCTTACCAATGCTGAAATTTCGAGATACATTTCAAGCTGTTGGAAAAGCGAAACTGACGAAGAACGTTTATCTTGGGAAAGATATGCGGATCAAAAGAAACTTGAACACATGCAGGCATACCCAAACTATGTATATCGACCAAATAAGAATAAAGGAAAAAATGAAAAGCGCAGGCAAGCTCGTAAACAATCCGCTGCTGCCACCTTTAATTCCCAAGAGTCAACAAATGTCGACGAATCTGGACCAATCAGGGCGACAAAGAAGAACAAAGGTCAAAATCGGTTGAATAACCTCGTTGGAAGAATTGAAATTCCCATGACCAATAAAGCAACTGGAATCCAAAACTTTGACTTTTCAATGATGACCCCCCCTCTTTCATCCCCAAATACTCCCAATAACAATAATAACAATTTAGTTTATACTACCGCTCCCGTTCCTTACGCTGAACCTGAACAGCTTCATAACTCTTCGTTTTCAACTCAAGATATGCAATTGCAACAACAAATGCAAATGTTATACCGAATTCAACATCAACAACAACAACAAGAAGCATTATTTCAAAACAACCTTACAAATTTAACATTTCAATCGATTAATGAATTAACTCCCGGTTCATTCCGTGAGGAAACCGTTGATCCTTTGATCTTCGCTTTTCCAAATAATGAAGAATTAATTTACTCTCCTCATTCTTCATTTGATTCAATCTCTACCAATAATTCCGATTTAAATAATTTAAATAGCCAAAAGATCAACACGTCTTGTGCTTATCCTGAATTTCGAGACAATACCATAAACACTCAAGGTCTTGCTGATATTTTTGCGGGAATACATACCTTTGAGTCAACTTTTCAATATTAATTACCCAATTAAAAGCAAATCCTTAGTATAAAATCCTGGGATTTTCTTATCGTACATATAAATAGTAATATTTTACTTTGAGTAACGAACATTTTTTTTTTTTTTTTATATACATATTATATATATTAGTTTTTATTTATTTTTTTCTTATCCATTTTTCTTTTTTTTTTTTTAAAAAAAAAAAAAAAAAAAAAATGAGGGAAGGGTGGATATGGGTGTAAATAATGGGTTGGTTGTATTCTAATAATTATTAATAATTCTGGGTTTTTTAAAAAATAATCTTTATATAAATTTGGGCACAGGCTGCTTTTTTTAAAAAAAAAAAAAAAAAAAAAATTGTACTATAATTATTTACACCTTTATCTCAACCTTTCTCTCTTTTTTTATTTGCATTTTTTTTTTTTTATATTTTTTCTTTCTCATTACGCAATTCATTTATGAACTATTTAACTCATTAAACTTCATAAAATCTCAACTCCTGTAATATATCATTTCCTTTGCCTTTACTATTTTTTTTTTCTAAATTTTGTATATCAGTTTCAATTTCTCTTCAAATAAAAAAAAAAAAAAAAACTTCGAACAAAAATTTCCAAATATTTTGTGCAACTATTGAAAAAATTTTTTCCTATCGTAAAATTTTGCCAAATTTGGTTGTGGCTGATACAACTGGTAGTCAAAAATTATGGAAGCTAAAAAAACGTAAATAAAAAATTTTTTTATTACACTTTTTTAATAACAAACATTTTTTGTTTAGGATTTTTTAATATACAAACATGCATTATGAGAATTCATTCCGGTTTTTGACATTCATGATCTTGCAAATTGATATAACTTTAAACATTGTAAACATTTATTTAACTTGTGAATGAACCTTTATAAATTCATTAACAATTTGTACAATTTATACGAATTTATACAGTAGTAATATGTCTGAGAGACAACCCGTGTAAAAAAAAGGAAAATAAAATTATAACATGGGGATCCGACAAAAAAAAAAAATTTCATCATTAATGAAACTTACACATGACTCAAGAAAAGTCACAAGAAAAAATCACATTATCAAAATGACGCATAAACTTAGAGGGGACTTGTTCTCGAACAAATAAAAATCTCTTCTAATTATAGAATGATATGATCTTACTATTTTTTACCAGGGCCCTTTAGGTGTTGTACAAAATGTCATATCCAACAAATCTTTGTAAAACAGAAATAATTTTTAGAAAAATATTTTAACGGAGTTGTGGCTTTTTCTAATTCTATTTACAAAAAAAGAATTGGCGTAAATCTGTTACGCAATACAAATTTTGGCTGAAATTAACAGAACATCATAAAAAAAAAAAAATTTAATTAATCTGGTGATTATCGGTTCACAAACCAATTAAAAAAAAATTATGCTATTCATGCACTGAATGCAGGGAGCTTTGCTCCTAAAAAAAAGGGGGATATTGGCTTCAAAGGTAATGTTACACATGTCATGTCAATAAGAGAAGGGATGGTATTATTTAAAAGACAACCACATATTAAAAAGACTCGATTACTATAATAATTTATAAGGTATTTCAATCGTACCGTCATTATACAATAATTAGCAGTATGATTTCATCTAGGATTAGAAGTTACCTGCTGAATAGATAAATGATTTCGATCAAAAAACTTTCTAAAAAAACCCACTCTGTTTCCCAAAATCAAAAAAAAAAAAAAAAACCAAAGTGCATCACTCGCAGGCGGAGTCGGGGAAACAGGATCGGGAGTTCATTTTTAATCACCCGAATCATCCGAATCGATTCAAAAAATTTACCCCATTTATCAATAATGATTTTCAAGCAATGTAATTGAAGGAAATTTATTATAACTCTTCATTAGTGTTTATTAAAAGTAGCATTTCTAGTTTGGCTAAAACATTTTATAACCATTATTAAGCACGATTCAATTGTTTCATATGACGGCTCAAATGATTGGAAATGTTTCAGAAAATGATTCAGATGATTGTTTCAAATGTTTCGGGCGATTCGGGTGATGAGTTTGATTCAAATCTATGCCTTTGATGGTGTTCTTTCTTGTCCGTACATTTTCTTTGATTTAAAATTTTGCTTTGTTCCCCTTTTTGAAGTGGCGCTCTTATTTAAAAATATTAGGTTATGATGATTATATTTGATAACTTAAAGTTAATGTAAAGTTGAATATCAATTATTATGATCATTTGATAAAGAAATTTCACAAATTTAATTTCCTTTTGTTTACTTAAAAAACTTATCGCCAAGATCTTTGCAGTACATATGGTTTAATCTATATGTAAAATGCAAAGTTGATCTGTATAAATTTGGTCAAATAGGCTTTTTTTTTTTTTTTTTTCGAACGCATAATAGCACATAATTTTATTTGCCTAAATATTTTGGTGACACGGTAATTGCATACTTTTAAAGAAAACATCGTTCCTTTGAAAAATATATCATCTAAGTAAAGTTAAAATATCCGTTAATATAATTTTGCATTTGTTGATCCTATGAATCATGAACCATGAAGACGGTTTTTAAGCGCTCGTTAAATTGAAGTTTTCAAACGGAGCTTACAATTCTGCACAAACTCAAGAGCTTTACCTTAGATTTTGTGTGCTTCGAGGTATGTAACAAACCGATAAATTAAATTTGTTCATAATCTTTTGTTTTTCTCGTCGATAAACAATCCGTTAACACGAAGCATATTAAAAAGCGACAGTTGAAGGATCAAAACCAAGGTGAAGTGACTTTGCTCGTAATGCTAAAATTTCATAAAGTAGCAGGTGTCCACAGTGAAACTAAAAGTAGTTCACAAATTCACAAATCGAATTAAAAAAAACTTTAGTTACCCTTTTTCTAATGCAATTGATCATTCTTTCAACAGGGATCGATTTTATAATTTAATAAATATTAAGACAAACCGTCAAACATATTTTTTTTTTTTTTTTTTTTTTTTGAAAATGAATACATAAATCTTAGTGGGGAACATTTATATTTTATAAAGAATATTTTTTTTCTTCACGATAAAGTAAGTACATTTGATTCTATATATTACAATTTGCGATATTCGACATTTCGACTTCTTGTACGCTTCCTACTTCTTCCCTATTGGTACGGTATGGATTGGTTGATTTAGGAGAAATCATACCGTCAGAGGTATTTTCATTTCCTGAGATTTCTATAGCAAATCATTACTAAAGTTTTCTGATAATGAAATTTTTCCTACCGAAATGTTCCTTTTTTCGTTTGACCTCGAGTAATTATCAACAGCAGACGTTTCTTGATGTTGACGATGATGATTATTTAATATTTCATCAAACCAGGAAGTTGATCGATAATGAATGTGTAAAACGGCGATAGGTTCATATGATTTCAATTTCGAACTTCCATTCCAAAATAGGTAATTAAAATTTTTTGATGTAGTATTTAAATTTCTAACGGTAGGAAATTTTACCCTTTCGATTTCATAAAAATAAACGGAAATCGCACCAAGTCCACCGAATTGATGTGCCGACTTGGGCATATTATATGTCAAGGTTGAGGAGGGCCATAAATTGGACGGGAATTTGAACGGTTCATGAATCTTTTTACGCCAACATCCGTTAACGACCTGAAATGACCTATCATACATTTCGATGCAGGTTTCATCCATTTTACCGTCCATAACTACGTCTCCGCGTATTTGACGATCTTTGGTAACCTTTAACGATCGAAAGCGTACTTTAAATTCGGATTCAGGAACCTTTACTTCTACGACATAATGCATTTCGCTGAGAAAAGGAGAAATTTTTTTTGAGTTCAATATATGTATATATATATATACATAATGTAGATATCAATGCTTTTTGCGTACCAGAAGACCTTTTGTTTGGTTATGTTATCAACGTAGAAACTTGGTTCGAAATTAATGTGCTATTATGTTAAAATATTATTTTTTTTTGATTTTTGAATTTTGAATTTTTGAATTGAAAAATTGGAAGCGAACAACATATTATTCCTTACGTCAGACTCGACTTTGATGGGTCTTTCTGGTAAAGGTACATCATTGACCAAAATTTCGAGAACGTAACCGCAAAATCTCATAATTGTAAGTAAAAGAAGAAGAATTCGCACAAGGGAGCTGTAAATTAGATTAGAATTTCAAAAAAAAAAAAAAAAAGGAAATATGTATTTAATAGCTGTTTAAATAAAGAATTTCGGCTTAATTATTCATCAATCCTGAATAATTTACTGTTTATTTTAAAAAAATTGATATTGTAACGACAAGATAACTTTGATTCTTTAAAAATATCATCCTTAAACTATGATCAAAAAAAAAAAAGAAAGGAAATATGTATTCTTTTCATGTTTATTTTTGCTTATTTACAATATACTCTGTAATTCGCGTATTTATTTTTATTCATTAGTTTATTCTTTAAAATTATCACCAAAGGATTGTGTTGATCGATCTGATTGCGGCGAATTTTTACGCATCAAGTTTATGCCTTTTTCGGTGATTGAACTTTAGAATCCCGGATTATCAAAACCTGAAAAATCGATACATCCAGTATTATCTTTCTCTGACATGTTTAACAAAGTATTCTTCTAAATGGAATTTTACATCTGAATTTAAGGATAACGGTTATTCACATAATAGTCCATTACACTTGCAAAATGTCATCAGAAAGTATCAAAACATATATCCCACCAGTTAAGATACGCAAAACCATGACAAGGCATTAATTGATTAGCAAAATTCTTGGCCCATAAATTTCATGTAGTGTCATTAATTTTCTAGTTTTATGAATTTGAAACTAATTAATGAAATTAAATTAACATAAAGGTTTTTTCTTAGTTATCTTGTTTTTTCTCTTTTAATAATTATTTGCAGCTTTTGATATTTCATTAAAGGATGGCAAATTATGTTTAGTAGTTAATGAAAGGTTGACACTATCTATAATTTCTAAAATCTTATAAAAAAAGCTATTAGTATATATAAATTATAAGTATTTGCAAACAAATTTATCTGCTTATTTATTATATAAATTCACTGTTATTTTTATTTTCAATTATAATATAAAAAAATTTTATCATTAATTTTGATAATTTATTAAAATTACTTTTATAATAAAGTATATTATGAAAAATAATTTTAATTATACAATTTTATATAAATTAGTTTGCAAATATATAAATTATAAAAAAATTTTTTAAGAATTTTTATAATTAATAATTATATTACTAAAATTAAAATTTTATTAGTCCAGAATGAAGTGAAGGACTATATATATATAGGTCTAAGGTTACATAAAATGTCCTATTATCTGCCCTCTCAATAATTGAATCAATGCTGACTGATTCTTACAATTGCACAAAAGTTTGGATAAAGTTCTGAACTTAACAATGGTCTTCCGTTTTCCTAGTATTTAAGAAATATTTTAAATTCATAAGTAAATTTACCTATTAGATAATTTAAATATAATTCTTATTAATTACTAAATCTTTTTCTTATAATATTTATAACTTTTAAATTTTCTTATAATTTTTTATAATTAGTAAATTTTTTAAAAGATAATTTTATTAGAAGTTATATTAAAATAAATATTAATTAATAATATTTTATACTTAAATTTTAGTTATAAAATCAATTTTTCTGTTAATTTATGAATAAAGATTCTTAATAAAAGAATTTAAATGCTAATATTTTATATTATTAACAATTAACCTATTAATATTTTTTTTTTTATTAAAATATTAATTTTTTTATAAATTTATAAGTTTTAAAAATATTATTAATATTATTTTTAAAGCTTTATAAATTATAATTTACACTATATATTTTTATTTAGTTTAATTGATTTAAAATTTTAACTATCAATTATTATTTATTACTTAAATTATATAGAGGAACGGTCAATAAAAAGAGAAAAATCTATAAATTTTGAGTAATTTTAGTTATTAAGTTAGTTTTGTTTATATTATTATGATCAACAAAGTGAATTAATAAAAAAATTTTTGATTAAAAAATGAATTTCTCTTTTTTCTACTTATTGTCTCCTATATAATATCAGATAAATGTAAATAATATCTAATAAATATTATAGAATTTTAGTAATTATACTAAATGTATTAATAAAAAAAATATTTTTGTTAATTAAAATAATAAATATATCAAAAAAATATTTAAAAAACTAAAATTAAAAAGAAAAAATAAAAATAAAAAGTTTTAAGAATTTAATATAAAATTTTAAATAATGATTTTTAAGATATTTATTGAAAAATATATAAATAAATTATAATTTTAAAAAGTAAATTTAAATAAATTTATATATAAAATTAGTTTATTGATTTATATACAGTGCATGAAAAAAGTTTCAAAATAAATTTAGTATAAAAAACTTTTAATAATTTGTGCAATATTGTAATATATGATCAGCAACAAATTTTATATGATTACGTAGCTTATATTTTTATATACAATAAGAATGGTAGGTTTAAAATTGAACATATAAATTTATATACCATTTATGTAAAAATTATAAATCTAATACTGAAGAATGGTGTTTAAGATTATTAGATTGGCTATCAAAAAGTCTAGACTTCAATCCAATTAAAAATTTATAAGCAATTTTGAAGAAACGTGTAGAGAAACAGGTTAACATATTATTGATAAAAAAAATTAATCACTATAGATAATTTTCTTTATATAATTTAAAAAAAGTAGGAGAAAATTGAACCTAAAATATTTATTAATTTAATTGTAGTATGTCAGAATAAGTAATTGAAGTAATAGTAATAAGATAAGCTATTAATTAAGCTTAAACAACTTTTTTCTATAATAATAAAGAATATATTTTAATTTTTATGTAATTTCTATTTATTTTTAAAGTATAATAAATTAAAATATGATTCTGAAAACTTTTTTCACATACTATATTAAAACTTTTATTATCTTAATAATTAGAATTATCTTATTTATTCTAATATCTTTATATTCATTATTTTAAAAAAAATATTTTAAATTCAAATTCTAATAATTAAATAAAAAAATGAATATTTTTAATTCATTTATAATATTTAAATCTAATTTTTTTATTTATTTCTTTAACTATATTTAATTAAAAAAATATTTCTTTTTTTTATTATTTAAATCAAATATTTTATTATATACTTTTTTATAATTTTTTTATATTTTTATATTATCTCTATTTTTATAAACTTAAAATAATTTTTTTGTAAATTTTTGATATTTAAAAATTAAAAAAGATTATTATCTATATAATTAAATTTTACTTTATTATTTTTAAATAAAATTAATTTATAAGAAAAAAACATACAGTCAATTCTTGTTATAACAAACTCTATGTCCTAGACCTCAATTTCGCTATAAAGCTATAATAAGAGATTTGATTGGCCAATTCGCTATAACAAGAGTATTTTTATTATATTTGTTCAAAAAATTCATTATATTAAGAGTTCGCTATATCAGAGTTGACTGTAATATTATATATTTAATAACATTAAATATAATTTCTAGTAATAATAATAAATTAGAAATATAATATTTAAAATATATTAAAATATTGAGTTATTAATTGAATTAATCAAGAAATATAACAAAAGTTACAATTTTATTTATATAATATTTATATACTTTTTTTAATACTTACACTATAAATATATTTATATATTAAGTTTTTAAAAAATATAAATAATACTTATTTATTTAAATAAAAATTTTAATAATAATCAATATTTATAATATTATTTTTGATTAAGACTAATTTTTACCTAAATGATTCATATGTAAAATTTTACCTACCTATAGAATTAGAATTATTTAGAGTTTGATTTGAATATCTTAAATCTAACTTAATTTTAACATTAATTACTTTAATACTAATATGAAATTTTAGAACTTATTTCTAATTTTTACTTTTATAACCAATTTTATTCAAATTAGTTCAGATTCGGATCATATGAAACAGACAAAGGATTCAATGAAATATCTGATTATATGAATGATGATTAGTTATAAAAAGCTTTTTCTGGCTCAGTTAAATACATTTTTTTTTCCAATAAAAATAATGAAAGAAAAAGATGCGTCAACACAACAAATCACAATAAAATTATCACCTATAAGTCAATAACTCTACGTACCGTAGTCAAAAACCAAAATTAATACACAAACTTGACTTAATCATTGATCAATCACTCTTTTAAATTAATTCATCATCGCATTTATTTAAAAGTATTCAATAATTTAAGCCAAATTTAAAACGAATCAAAGAATTCATTGTATTAAATTAAAGAATTTGCCTAATAAGATAAATAACAAATTATTATAGAAATGATAAAAATTGAAGATTATAAAAATTTGGTTTGGCCAATTTACATAATGCGACTCGATCTATCGTTCTAAAATGATCTTTATTATTCTCGGAAAATTTTTTTCTTAAATCATTTTTATTTCATAAGATATCTATAATAATGAACTTTTTGATGAATAGCATTATTTACTTCTAACCTAAATATACTAATTTATAAATTTATCCTTTAATTTAACATCTATTCTTGAAAAGAATTAAAAGAATTTTTTTTTTTTAACCATTCATAAAGATTTGATTTTTAATGATGTCAAATTTTTAAAATTAATTTAGTTTCATATCGGAATTGCAATAATAAAAATAATTAATATAGTAAGAATAGAAAAAAAAAATTAATCCATATATTTTATACAAGAAACCTTTCAAGATAGATCAAAACCAACATCAGCATTTATGGCATATGACAATTTCCTAGATAAGATGTATAAAATATATTAATACATGATACAAAGAAAAAAATACTTCAAAACTTTCATTACATACTCCCTTAAAGTATTTTCATCAGAATAAGCTGGTAGCTTTAGTAAATTAACGCAAGTACTGGAGGAAGGTAATCGAGTTCCTGATCCAGCTTTACGTATACTGAACTTAGGATGAAGTTCCTTAAAACCAAGTAAAGGAGGTCGAGAACACGAAGTAACAAATTTTATTAGTTTTTGTTTTTGTTCTTCGGGAAATTCAGTTACAACTTTCCAGAAATTAATAATGACAGGGTCATCTTCCTTGTAATCAGAATATTCTGTATTTTGTTTTAAGTCTTCAATATTTATCGGAATATATGCTCCTCCAACAAGTATTTGAAGTTCTTCCTATTTCAGAAGCATAAATAAAAATTAGAAATTCATTCTGATATAAGCTTTTTAGATATCATTTATCTTACCTGATTAAACATCATTAACCATTTTTGATTAATCAAATCTAATAATCCTCCAAAGAATGCTCCGCATTGAAGTTCTATTTGTTTATTTAATCTATAGTCTGCCACCCTATGTATATAACTAATACGGTTTTCATTGGTGACTGGTATATCACTTCCTCCTGGAATAAGTTCAATAGTTCGAGATACTCCAAGCTCTATTTAAAAAAAATAAATAATAATAATAAAAACAAAATAAATATTTAATATCGGTGGCAAAAATTTGTAATTTTGAGAATACACACCATTATTTACAACAGTGAAATTAAGTGATAAATCCGATTCAACATCGCCTTGATAGTTTTTTAAATATATAAGGCCCTGATACAATTCTGGATCAAGAGAAGGCAAGTCATCCACTACAAAATTTACAACATGCAAGTAAATAAAAGATATATTTGTTAATATATCAATTGAAAGTTACGTACAATATGATGTTCTTCCTAGCCATTTATTTAAAAAGAAGCCGGCAAATGCGGCATCAACCAAAATTCCTTCATATAGAGCTTTGCCTAATATACGACCAATAAACCCATAGTAACTAAGTTGCTCTAAGAAAAAAGTTTTAGATATTTGAAAATCATGAATAATCACAGGTTATTAAATTTCTATCAACTATAGAAATATATTAAAAACCTTGACTGGAAAATGCATATGGATTAGGGTATAAAAGTTGTTCCTTAGTACTAAGGAATAACCCGTAATTTGTGTCAAACGCAATACGTGTCAACCTATGAAACATCAAATATATAATTATTAAAAGAGAATATTAATAAAGCTTTATTAAAACTTAGAAAGTCCACTTACGAAGTCAAAAATTCCTTAAATAAGCCACCACCATCAATACCAGCTTCTTGCATTCCAAATTCATCAATGAATTGAATAGCAATCGGACTTTTCAGTCCGGAACCTAATGCATTAAGATTACTGAAACCATCTTCAAACACAGAATTTCGTCTAATTGAAACACGTGCACGTGGCTGCATAAATAAATCGGCACGATTAATATTCCTGAATGTTAATACAAAGAATTTTAATTAATTATAAAAAAAAAATTTAAAAATTTAAAAAGAAAAAAATATTATTATTATTACCGTTCACGATCATTCTGAACAAATTCTCTAAAGATTTTAACCCTCTCCTCAAATGGTATTACAAAAGGAATATTATACAAGATTCCAAGTCTCGGGCTAATATTCGCTATCTGCATCTTATCTAAGTTACAAGCTTCATCATCACTATCATATTCAAGATCTTGCTCATCTAAAACTACAATTTTCACAAAAACATTCATGTCAATCTCTGAAGTCATTAACCAGTGATCTGTTGGGGTGAATTGACGGCGAGAACTAAAAAAAAAAAATTATTTGAATTTTTTTTTTTTTTTTAAAAATAAATAAATAAAAAAAAAAAAATAGTTACTCTCTCGCATGAATCTGCCGCAATAGTTTGGTAACAATATCTCTTAGATAATATAAATCAATGCAACTACTTTCAATTCTGACATCCATTTTTAATGGAGGACTATTGTTCCTGTTCCAATATATCAAAAATCCCACATGCTAATGATAATTAAATAAATAAATATATATATATATATAATGTTTTAGTTAATGAGATATATAATATTTCTTCAATAAAATTTTTATGCTCATTAATACCTTCATACAAGTAGACATCTTGATGATTTCTGATAACCTTAACGGATTTTTACGCTCATCAAAAAATTCATCGTCACCCATAGTAAACAAAACTCTACTATATACCTCACAGAGTAAGGCAAATAAACCCCATTGTTCAGAAAAAGTGGGATCTGAATATACGAAAATACGGATTATAAATCATTTTATTCATTTTAAAAATAAAAGAAAAATCCTATTGAATAATACCCGTCATTGTGTTTGAGTTTGATTTGTTATTTGTTAATAATTGAGCCAATTCTGTATTTTCAAATGCACCCCATAGCAAACTAACTACAGGACGTTTTCCATAAATCATGTTGTTTAATAGGACAACTTTCTTGGACGGCCATCGAATCATTAAGGTTATAAAAAAATTTGAAACTCCGAAAATGGCCGAAGAAGCTACAAGTGCGAAAAATGAAGCCAAATGCTCCTTATCAAACAAGCGAGAAATCCACTTTAAAATTCGTGGATCAACTTTAGGCAATGCATCTAATTCCGGACTATTGGACATCGCTACATCTCCATCGTCATCATCATCGTCCTCACGAATGATAGAACCTGAAAATTTAAGATCTGTCAAGAATCTTGTAAGTTACTATTAATGAATATAATAATTCTTCAAATACCATTAGAGTTTTCAGATTTGTCAATTAATAGCTGAGTTGGAATTCGTAATGCTAGGTTTTGAATTGTTTTCATATAAGCCAACTGTTGAAGAATTAAATAGGAGAGTAAGTTATCAAATATAGGTAACAAAAAAAAAAAAAAAAATGTTGCAACTAACGTACCATCACATTAATCTTCATTTTTGAAACCTTTTGATGTGCAAATGCTAGCAAATTTCCAAATAGTACACATCCTTGTTCTATATCCTCTACAGCTCCAACCATAGTTGACAATTTCAGAATAATATCATTCAATGGTAACCGAGAAGAAAATATTTTTAAAGTTTCAATATTGATCCGATTCGGTATTAGTGGAATTGTAAAGATATGAGTGATAAAATTTTGTAGAAATGAATCATAGATTTGGTGTGAAGATGATGAAATTTGTAAAGGGTGCAAAGCAAGTTCAACTAAAGGTAGTATTACAGGATTATCTTTATCTTCTATTTGCTAAAATCAAAATGAAACAATAATAGTAATAATAATAATAAGTAAGTATACCATGTATACACTTTAGAATTTTTAAGCTATAATGAAATTACCATGCTGATCAAAATATTTCTCAATTCTACGTATAAGCCATTCTTTACAAGGTATTCTAAAATTCCTTGATAGAGTTCTCTGCCGATCAGATATAAATTATTTCAATAAAATGTTTAAAAATCATTATATTCATAGAAACATAGAACAAAAGAATTTACACTAACTCTCTATTAATATTCTGAATTTTTTGATACTTTGAGATGTTCATGGATAGAAGCAACGTTTCCAAATTATAGATACTTTGATATGGTTGCCTAAACAATAAGAATTTCAATATAAATCTCGAGTAAAGGAACAATAATGATCTTGCTCTAAACAAATTATTACATAGTATTAATTTCAAGATTTTTGAGAAATATGACTAAAGTCCGTTTTAATTGGTAAGTCCACAAATCTCGTAAATCATCGTAGTAAAATGGAAAGAATACTGCTTCTAAACCTATTTAAATAAAAATAAAATTAACCAACGCTTTGATTAAACAAAAATTCACATTATGAAATATCGATGCACCTTTTGTTTGTTTCCGCAACATTTGATTCAAGTTTAATTTTCTTTGAGCATCATAATGCGAACGGTAAAAAAAGAGAAAGCTGCGCACGAGATTAATCAAATTCAGAGCCAAATCACGCTCAGAATATACATTATTTATCATGAATTTGATTTGTTGATCCCAAGATTTGCGCTCATTATCACGAAACGTTCCAGCCGTAGTTCTTCCGCGATAAAAAGCCTAAACGACCAAATTAATATTAATCAAATTCCCAGTACGTTTTAAATTTGTCACCGTATGAAACATTAATTATGTTCTAGATACCTGAATTTTGATTGCAGACTTTTGTTTTAGTCGCTCTTTCTCTCTAGCTTTACGTTGATCGTGAGTTTTTTTCACGAGTGCTTCCCTATCTTCTTGTTGTCTTCTCCCCCCAAGGTTGATAGTTCGACGTGACTTGTAGTGACCTTCGAATGAATTGATCATTAGGAAAATATACTGGTTTTTACTTAACAAAAATATGGTATTCAATATTCTTGATATTATTGACAACCTTTACAAACTGAAAGTGAATGCTACCCCAACTCGTTTTTTTTTTGAATATTTTGACAAGTTTATATAGGATGATGATCTCGACATGTATGATAAAATCACATGAAAAAAAATGTAAAATTCCGTCCACTTAATTTTAATTCTATGTATCACATAAAAGCTTGCATAAATTTCAAAAAGTGGTTTTTTGATTTTTATGTCATCCATCTTTATCTTTGACCTTTTACTTGTACTGTAAGTGCAAGAATCTTTTTCGTTTATGCATCTTTTCGTGGCTTATTATTGCTAAAAAAGGCTAGAAAGATTATTTATATTCATGTTATTGATATAAAATATTTCCGGTTGTTTTCTTATTTTCAAGTGAGTTTTTTTTTTTTTTTTATATAAATTTGCTTAATAATTTTTATTTTTACTTCATTTATTTTCCAAGAATTTGATTTTGATCTTTTGATTCTTCTTAAAGTATAGTAAGATTACAATAAAAAGATCATTAATAATTTCTATTTGGGTGAGTTGCTTTTAATATTATTAATATGTAAAACTAACAACCGCAATAAAGAATGTTTTTTTTCATGCAACAGCTTTAAAAATATAATTAATAAAATAAAATAAAATCTTTTTTTTTTTTTCAAATTTTTTTTTATTTTAAAAATTGTATTTGAGTTTGTTACTGGTTGGTATTTGTATAATTGTATATTCAATATTGCGACGTAAACTGCAATATAGTCAAGTTTTTTGATTATTGTCCAACTTTAGAAATATTTAAGTATTTGTGATACTACTGTAAACTAACAAAATATATATTTAAAAATTTTCTCTTTTTTTTAAAAAAAAATTTTTTTGAATTTATTACAAGATATTTTTATATTATAAATTTTTTCAAGAAAAGTTTGTTAATAGAAATGGGATCAAGACTACCAGCAGATTGCCTACGCGAGATATTCGAATTTTTACATGATGACACAAAGTCTTTACATTCCTTTCTACTCATAAACCGACTTTGGTGCGAAACAACAGTTCCGATCCTTTGGAGGAATACGAGAAATTGGTTATCGAATTCTCATTTCAATGATAAATCAACTCAAATTCTTTTCACCACATTGTTGTCTTGCCTTCCGGAAGATTCGAAAAAACTCTTATCTGACAACGGAATCATAATTCCACCTCCAACCGCGCAACCACCATTATTTGAATATGCGGCATTTTGTCGTCGGTTATATTATAATGATATATGTTACATTGTCGAAGTGGCAATTGGGGATCGTCAATTAGGCAATTCGAGAAATTTATATGGCAAACATCTTATCAAACAAGAAATGTTTCGAATGTTTTTAACTCGATGTTCGACAATTGATTTCCTTGATATTTCTGATCGAAATGTACCCGATTTACCTTTGCCATATTTTGCGGGAGCCGAAACAAGTTTATCGCATTTGTGTGAATTACGATGTAACATGGAAATTCCTCCATCAATATTTTATCGTATGGCTCAAATTTGTAGGAATATTGAATCATTATTTATTGGATATTATCCTTTTGATAATGATGGTTTAGCTACTTTAATTGAGGTTCAAAAAAGGTTAAAAAATTTCGAATGTCAATCTCAAATACGTTATACCGAAACATTGGAAGATAAGCCACCATATGTAAATATAGCTTCCGCTTTAGCGACTTGTTCTAATACGTTAACGAACCTAACATTCGGAGGGGATTTAATATGTATTCCATCATCTACTATAGCAGAAATTGTTAATTTACAAGTATTAAAATTGGATTTTAATCATTTTAATCGTAATTTGAATGAAGAAATTTTGGAAAGTTTAGAATTCACGGCATTCCCGAACCTTAAAATGTTAAAAATGGGAGGAATACTTGCACCTTTAATTATGTTGGGAAGATTAATAAGAAGGACGAGAAATAATCTTGAAAGTATTTCATTACATGGTTGGTCAAAACCCGACCCCAAACCAATAGGAACGTTTAATAGAGTCGTGGCTCAATACGCTCCCAAATTAAAATATCTTACCACTTGGTGTTTTGAAAATAATTTTAGTGATATTGAATTTATATTGAATTCATGTGAACATTTGGAAGGTTTAACTATTAGAAGCCTTGATAATCCACTCGATGGTGACCTTTTATTTGAAATGTTGGGAAATTTATGTCATGAAAAATTTTCCAAATTACGAATAGCAGGAAAATGGACTTTTACCCCTAAAGGATTAAAAAAATTTTTTGAAAAAAGAAAGAAAAAGAAAAGATCTTTTTCGTTATATATCTGTGATTGTTATGATGAAGTTGATAGTTGTATTGAAATAACAAAAAGTCATAATCAAGTTATTGAAAGGTATAAGGCTGAAGGTATATTGAAAAATTACAAAATAGAATATGATTTTACTGGGGACTTTTAATTATTAAAACTAGGTGAAAAAAAAAAAAAAAATAAATGGAATTAATCATAATTCTTTTTGAGTTTATAACGAATGCACCTACTTTACCTACGATTGTAGCACCATTTCATTTTTTTGGTGGAGAACCTTAATTGTAATAATTTACGATAATTTTTCTTAGAAAATTGAATTTGAAAAGGTTTGATTCGAATGAACAATTTCAAATACTTTATTGACAAATACAATGTGATTTTTATTTCGATATTTTGTATATAAAGTCTTTCAAAGTGAAATTATTGACAAACGTTCGTTAAAAAAGAGAAAAAGTTTTTATTTCCACAATCAATGGTAGATCTTCTGAAGACATATCATTTAGTTGTAATGTTGGATCAAAAGATTGATATGACAAAACAAGGTCTTACAAAGTTGTTTGATTTTATTGTTCCTAGCGTCCAAATCTGTGCGAACTTATCATCCCATCATTGTATAGTATGTATAGTATCATGCTACACTATGAAAATAATACAAATTAGTTATATTTGATGACATTTGCTTCTTTTTATAAGAAATTTGAAAATTCGAATTTTGTCGATCGTGTGTTGATTTCTGTGTTTCACAAAATATGAAATACCGGAGTCATGACGTAATTCAATTCCTAAATTTCAATAGGTTAATTTATTAAAGAAAAGTGAAATGTTAATTGTTTATGAAACAAATAAATACTGTTTTACATTAATACTCTAATTGTTTTTAATAAATTAAAACTATTATTTTAACAAAATACATTTTGTTAGCTAAACAATTATATCTGTATTATATAAAATTTTAATATATTAGAAAAATCAGATTCTGAGAATTTGTTTTTAACTAAAATTTAGAATTTATTACATTTTTAATCTAATAACTTTAAAAAATAAAATCAAAATTTTATTCTTTTCATATAAAGTAATTTACTTTTTATATTTTTTTTATTAATATATCAGAATAAGATAATATATCAAAATATTATTATTATAAGCAATACTTTTTATTAAAATCTTTTAAGTCTCTTGTTTAATATTAAAATCTATAAAGATAACTTATTACTAACTATACCTTATCAAATTATTATCTAATAATAGATCATTTAATATATATAATATGATTTTTAGCTAAGCTTTATTGGATTAATGAAAAAGAAATTTATTTTTAATTATAAAATAATCATTTTTGATTATTATTATATCTGAATAACTTTAATTTTTACTTATATTTACTGAAATCTTAAAAATAAATAATTTTTTTTATTTATATTATTAAAATAATATAGAAATTAAACCTAATCTTTAAGTATAATTAACATTAATTAATAATTTAATTAGCTAATTTATATATATATTATATATTTAGTTATAATAAAATTCTTATAAAAATTATATTATATATCTTAATTAAAATTTGAATTTATGTTTTATAATAACTTTAATAAAATATTATTATATTATTAATAATTAATCATATTTTATACTTTTTTTTTAATAAATATTATTTAATCAGAAAATTTTTTTTATTATTAAAAAAACAAATTTTTATTTTAATCAAATAATAAACTAATCTTTAAGAATTATAAAGTATTATAAAAAATAAAAAAAAATAAAAAAAAATAAATGTTTTAATTATTTATTCTATTATTTATTCTATTTAATAATAAATATATAAAATAATTTTTTAAAAAAAATAAAAATAAAAGAAATAAAAAAAAATAGATAAATAAAAAAATAGATAAAATAAATAAAATAAATACTAATTTTTAAAATTATTTATCTGATCTATTTACCACTTTTCTTTATTTTAAATTAAAACTATACTTAAATATAATTTTATATTATTCTAATTATAAATTACTTTATAACTAATAAAAATATAAATATATTATATATAAAAATAATATACAATTATTATTTTTTATAATTACACCTCTTAGAACTAAAAATAAAAGTATGATTATAATAAAATGTAATCATATAGAAAAAATTTTATATATTATTATTAATTATTAGTTCTAAAAATGTATAATTATAAAAATATTGTAGTTATAAAGGATTTTTTTATATAGCATTAATAGATATTAATTTTTATGAAATGTGTACTTATAATAAAGGATTTATATGATATGATTGTATAAAGAATAAATATAGAGAGTTAACTGTATTTAAATAAAATAATATATAAAAATTATATTATCTAATATTATATACTCTTAAAAATAAGCATCTATTTTTTATTATAAGAATACTTATTTTTGAGATATTTTTTTTTTAAAATAAAATTTTTAATTTTTTTCTTCATTTTTTAATTGAAATGATTATTCAATTTATATGATGATTTTTTAAAATAGAATTAATATGTATTATATATCTTAAACATATTATGTATTTGTATTATTATGTATAAATCTATTTTAAACTTATTACTTTTATAAAATGCTAAAAGTCAATATAAATATAATTTCTATTTTGTTAAATATAAAAAGTTATTATTACTTAACAAAAAAATAAAGTAGCAAGTCATTTTGAACTTAATATTAATACAATTAGAAAATGAATTCAAAATAAAATAAACTAACTAAAGTAGTAAAAAATTAGTTTAGATTAAAAATCTTTTTATTTTAAGATTAAAAAACTGTATAATTAAATAATTAAGCAAAAAAAAAATAAAATTTAGCAGTAACTTATGTAATTATAAAATTAATATATTAGAAATTTTAAAAAAAATAATATGATAATAATACTAGTAATACTAGTATTATTAATATTAATAATAATAATAGCATTATCAACAGAATTAACCCTAGTAATAGTAATAATAACAGAAAATTTAAATATTTAATAATTAGATATCTTCATTTTTGAAAAAGTATAAATTAGCTTAGTGAAGACAAACTATAGGTCAAAAATTTTCTATATAAATTAAAAAAATATTAAAAAAATTTAGTTAATTTATTATTCATCTTAAAATTAAAAATCCTTTAAATTATACAATATTCTTAATATAAACAAAAACTTTCATATAATTCAATATAGCTAAAAATTTTATTATTAGTTAAAAAAAGTAAAAAAATAATTTCTATTTATATAATAAATAATAAAAAAATCTGATTTACTATTGTGTTATAAATAAGAGTAGTTATTTTTTATAAATTTTTATTAAATACATAATAAAATTTCTTGAATATACTTTAATAAGAAGTAGAATATTTATAATTCAGATATTAAAATATATTAAAGTATATACAAAAAAGGAAAATTATTAGTTATATAGTTTTACTATATTATATTATACTATAAAAAGAATATTTTTAATTTAAATTTTTATTAATTAAACTTATTTTAATTCAGAATATTAGCATAAAACTATATATTTTTATGCAGTATGACTTAAGATATCTAAATGTTTATTACTCAATAATTGAATCAATACTGATTAGCTTTTATAATATTTTTTAGTTAAATTTATTCTAGACTTAATAACAGTCTCTATTCTTTAGTAATATAATAAATGATATAAAATATATTTAATTAATATATTCAAAAAAATAATTTTAAAAGAAGAATATATTTCTTTTAACGTATTTGTTTAATTTTAAGGAAATAGTTAAATAAATTTTGAATTCATAATATAATATATTAATTATCTTGATAATAAAAATAATAATAAATTTAAATTAGTTATAATTAGTTATAATCTTATTTTTATTATAAGAATAAGTTTTTGATGAAATAATCATTAATTTTTTTAAAATATTAATATTAGTAATAATAATAATATAAAAGTAATTCTAATAAAGAACATTTTAGTAATAATAAAATTAATATTAATGATATTAAGTAGATAATTAAGACTATTTTTATTTTTTTTATTTTATAAATTTAATAAAATTTATTATCTTTCCAATTGTTTTGCTTTCAAATTTGCAAGTAATTTTATTTATTAATTACAATTATTTTTAATTATTTTTAAATATTTTATTAAAAAAATTAATACTTTTATAATAAATTTATAATGTTTTCTAAGTAAAAATTAAAAAAAATGTATAGTCAACTCTTATTATAATGAATTCTATGTCCTAAACTCAATTTCACTATAAGGCTATAGTGAAGATTTTAAGAAATTTGATTGGCTAATTCGCTATAACACAAGTATTTTTATTATATTTGTTCAAAAAATTCATTATATCAAGAGTTTGCTATATTAAGAGTTAACTGTAATTAACTAGTGATTTTTTAAAGATAAATAAATAATAAATTTTTATAACTTTAAACTCATATATTTTGCTAACTATCAATCTTAGAAATATAAAAATACTACTATTTAATATGTCTTAATATGATGAATCCAATAAACTAAATTTTATATTTTTGTAATTATTAAATAATAAATTATTTTGAAAAATTATAAAATTAATATATATTGATAATTAATAATTTTAAAAATTTAAAATACTACTATTAGATACATCATAATATGATAAATCTAAAAATTTTATTTCATCTTTTTATAATTATTAGATATCAAAATATTTTAAGTTTCCTAAAATGTTTTAGAAACAATTTTATACTTACAGTTTAAGGGATAAATAAGATTATTAAATGGAATCTGAAAGTTTTGCAAGTTATTTAAAGAATAAAAGGTTAAACTTAAAAAAAACTAATATTAAAATCTTAATAAAAATCTGTAAAAGGTAAAATTATCAAATATTGTTAAGATACCTGCAAAACTAAGGTTTAGGTATATTATTAAATCCAAAATAGATTTAAATAGTTTTGTAAATTTATTATAACTATGCTGTTAATATTCAATTTAAAAAATTAGAGTTTGAGGACAAAGAAATTATTAAATTGTTCAAAGTATTTAATCTTGATTCATGAAGGTTTTATTATTTCCAATTATTAGAGGAGCACAGTTGTTGTATGTAGGGCAACTTACGAATCCAATACATTTTTTTTATACTTTTAATTGAGGATGGTAATGTATATTATATC